ATGTTTACATATATGGCCACAAATAAAACAAGAGGAACCTTTTCTAGTTATATACTTAATAATGATTTATTGGGCAATGGGGATTACAAATAGGGACTTATAAATTGGACCTAACCTAACAAACTACTCACGTGAGACCGCCGGCAATGCAGCGTACGCTTGTAGAAAGTAAAATAATAATAAATGCAAGTCCAACAAAATTAGAGTTTAGAATATACGGCAAAACAGCGAGTTGGTACTGGTATTTGTTACAGCAAATCAAACTGTTCTCCTGATCCAAGTCAAAAAAAAATAGTGAAACCAAAAGAGTAGTAATTCTTCTTCCTTTTTAACTCAAGAAGGTTTCCAGTCAACAGTTTTCTGAAGAAAATTCACATTTATCCTAAGTCTATCCGACTATAGGACTATACTTCTGTGTGCTGGAGTTCCGATCGGGATCTCTCAGTGTTCCTTCTTCTCTGCTGTGTCTTTTTCCTTCTTTTCTGTTCTCTTTGTTTCCTTGGATATTCTGGATATATGTAAGGGATCTGGCTCCACCCTACTCATTCGAATATTCAATTATCATTGGTCCTTTAGCCTCAGGCAACACCCAAAGTCACTTTCCATTCCCGATTTCCTGTGTCCGTTAATACATCATTTGATGTTGACGTTTCCTTTACTTCCTCAGTTATGTCAACAGCATACCACCACCCAACTCTCGGGAGAGGGTTAGCTGGTGGTATCAATTTGACTATAGGAAATGGAATGTTCAATGGGTCATTAAAATACAGGCTAAAACAGTATTCCATTGTATAGCCTCGTTGGATACGGGATAGTGGATTAATATAAATAATATAGAATAGATTTAAAGGTACTTAAGATTGACTAAAAAAATATACAAAAAAATAAAAATTGTAGTAGGCCTACGAACCAGTTCAACTAGAACTAACAGATGAGGTGTGCTTAGTAAAATGATCCAGTTCAAGAAAATATTGCAAAGCAAGAAGATTGTCCTTGATTGGAATTGATGTATATAATGAAACAACGTTTATCGTATATAGGCCTATAATATATATGTGTATATATAATATATAGCCACTGCCAGTATTAAATGGAAAATCTTGATATAGTTCAGCCGCTTCTTTACTGTCCTTGATGTATGAATGTAAACTCTGGACTAACATTTTGAGTATTCCATCTAAAAATTCGCTGTTAATAACCATGGGTGCGTTACATGCTGATACGGTACCGGTAGTTCTGCCGGAATTGTCTTTTTGTTTATTTTAGTTAGCACTAAAGATATTAGGACAGGATGTATCAGCGTTGATAATGATATTCGCTGTCGATGGTAGTTCGTTCTTCTGAATTATAGAATTGATGGTTATTTAACAAATTCAATATCATTGTCAGTATCGCTGAAATGTAGTGTGTAGCAATTATGCTGAGAGAGTTGTATTTCACACACACACACACACACACAAACACATTATACTAAAAAGTTATATAGGTTTTACATGGTGGTCATTTTGGTCATGATGGTTGCTGGCCTTGACTTAATGAATGACCTTGAATAACTATGATGGTGACCTCTGATGAAATAGTTCCTATTAAAAATTGAATTCAGTAGCTTAAGTATGATTTTGCTGTAAAACATAACTGCTTCGAGTCATTACAGTACCGGTACCTTATTTAATAATGACCTTGGATAAGGTGGCTCCTACCAAAAATTGAATATTATGACCACTAAGAGCAGGTTTAAAAAATGGTGTTTTGTCCAGAATGTAAACATCCATCTGCTAAGCTGCCGAACTATTGTGAATTCCTTAATTCTTGTAATTTTCGCATTCTTTCACGCGGTCATGGATTAAGAAATTAAGAAAAGTAGGCAGTTACATAGCAGAAGTGATATACGTAAAGGTAATAAATTTAGACGTAAGGTTGTTCCAGTACAACATAAAATAAAAATTAAACATTAAACCATATACTAAACTATTTTTAACAAATGCTAGATCATTATGTAATAATATAATTTTATAGTAGTTTAAAATCATAACGAGACTCGCCGTGGTTTCTGAAACTTGGTTTATCTCGCGACCTCGTTTCAACTGTTTGTGCATAAACGCAAACGGACGCGCTTCGTAATTCTTGTTACTTGTTATTTGTGTAGCGCCTTTCTTTTCAATTACAAAGCGCTGAAGTTCTTGGTCATTGGGTCCACATCCTACGTGTTGCTGCTGGTAATCAGCGCAGGAGCAGGTAATCCCACCAGGTTCCCATTTATATTCCTGGTTGAAGAGAAGTCTTGGTGAAGAGTGTCTTGCTCAAGGACACAAGCGAAATGCACAGCGAGGTATTGAAACCCCCACCTCGAGGTTGGGAAACAATGAACAATCAGCGTCGCCAAAGACGTCGGTCATAATATATATTATAATATAATATAAAATCACATGAAAGTAACTTAGGTATAATAGACATACACCTCCACTAGATTGCATTTAAGATTAAAAATGACAGTAAATATCTAAATATTTAAGAGGAACGCCCTTTAGGGTTGGAACCCCAGATTTCCGATTACCGTTCGGATACTCTATAACAGAGTTATGAGGCCAATTGGTGTACACTTTTTTTCTCATTAGGATATGTGTTTTTTTAAAATGTCCCAATCGGGATTCGAATTAGGACCTACCGATTACCGCTCGGATACTCTACCAACTGATCTATGAGGACAAGTGGTTTACACCCATTAGGGCACGTTTATCTTTCTCCACGTATTGCGCAATACGCAATCATCTTTATATTATACACCCTCTTATAGAAATTTCTAATGTCATAGGTTTTATGAAAGAGAGTAAGAAAGAAATATTATCTAATCTTCGTGATTTACAAAAACCACATTTAATTATGTTGAGTACTAAGACGATGCTATGTAATTTTAGAATTTGACGCTTGTGATTCGGAATGTTGAGAATGCAACTCTTCAAAAAGCCACTATGCTTCAAAAGGAAACGTTTGTTTAACTCTCCGCTGCCATTGAATCAAATCAAATAGAGCGAAAAATCCTTTAATCTGTCGGCGCTTCATTTTGACTATTATAATGCTAATTTGATGATGAGGTTTACTATTTAAAAGTGTTATTTCCTATATTTCTCAATTTGTGCACGCACCCCCTACCGCCAAATCCTGCAATGTTGTTCCAATAACCACAGCGCCAAACCCTGCTGTGTACGTTCCTTTGTACGCAAATTTAAATCAAAATCAAATACAGCGAAGAAACACACAATTAAAAATTACCATTTTCTTTAACGTAAATATTATTACAGTTATTAGGTTCATTCTCTCCTTTGTACATTTTGGGGTATTTAAACTTGATTGGCACCATAATAATCAATTGAATAATAATTTCGGCACCATTAATGGAACGGAAAGGTACAGTACAATTGTTTACTTTAGTCGGAACATAATTAA